GTATCGCGCGATGAAACCTGCCTAGATCTCGCTACCGGGATGAGGTAGAGGTAGGTGATCTAATTTCCCGGGCAGTCGTGCAGAAAATGATCCAGGCCGCGATTACGAAACGGCTTCCAGTCTTCGCCGGGGGCGACGAAGGCGCCGTTTTTGCCGCTCTCTTTTCGTTTCTACGTGCCGTGTGCTACGATCGTGGACGCGATGTTGTCAGCTACCTATACAAATAGAGAACGACATCCTGCGTGTGCGAGGAGTTACTTCATAGTTAGGAAAGAATTTTTTGAAGATACCGTCCCGATGATGAGAATGTTGCGAGAGAAAACGATTTTGTTGTCGCAATGGAACGTTCTCCGTCCTTGAAAGCTGAAGTTTAAAAAAAAAAGTTATTTTAATTTTGAAAACGACATTTTGCGTGTGCGAGGAGTTATTTGATAGTTAGGAAAGAATTTTTTTGAAGATCGCGTGTGAATGATGAGAATATTGCGAGAATAAACAATGTTGTCACGATGAAATGTTCTCCGTCCTTGAAAATCGAAACTTCAAAAAAAAAAACCTTCGATTTTAATTTGGAAAATGACGTTCTGCGTGTGCGAGGAATTACTTTATAGTTAAGAAAGAATTTTTAGAGATCGCGTCTCCAATGATAAGAATACCGTAGGTGAAACAATGTTCTCGTCACGAAACGTTTTCTGTCCTTGCAAGTCGAAGCTTAAAAAAAAACTTTGATTTTAATTTCAGAGAATATGCTCATCTTTTTAGCATCGTTATTTCTTTCGCAATACAGTGCATGCATATACAAGTGTTTTGCAAAATAAGTACAAAATGCACGAAGCGCCACGTAACTCGTGGACCGGCAGTGTAGTGGCGACGATGCGGTGCCCCTTCGTGGCCTCGAGGGTCGCTGATCCCACAATTAACATAATGAGGTAGAAAACGTAGATATTAGCGCGAGGTTAGTTAATAGTGCACTTATCCGGAGAATGTAAATAGTTGGTGGTCGCGGTAGCTGTCGCTCTTTCTCTCTTTCTCTTTCGTATTTCGCAGCAGCGGGGTCCATTCCTCGCCTTCTCGCGTTAACTCACCGCGTCCCGCATTTTCCGGTCCTTCCTCGCCCTCGAAACACCGCCATGTCATAAGAAATCTCATAAATCAAAAAGTGACAAAATCGAATTTCTGTTTGCATAATGCGATCGTTTTATTCCACGCGCGTGTCCCCGAATCGAATCACCGGGTGCGAGACTTACGTATTCCTCTAAACAAATTATTAATCAACGTTAGCGTCAGACATTACCAAAATGAAATGGCAGTGTACAATTTGCAATCAATGAGATCCTAGATCGATACGATCTTTCGATTAAAAAGTTGCCTCAGCGAGAGCGTAACGGGTAATAACGACGAAGAATAAAAGCAAAAGTAAAGCGTAACAAGAGAATTCCGCGAAGAAGGAAAGATGCGGTCGGTGATGGTATTTTAATTAGTATCGCTATTAGTAACTATCCTACAGCATGAATCACAACTCAAGAGTGGTAAATAGAAGTTGAAAAAAATAAATTAATGCGTGTTATTACCAGCTGCATAGTAAATTAATTTTTTGCTGATATATGCTACGCCACTGTAATGACAGACACGACTACATTTTCAATATTTTCTATGTTGCTATTATGCTAGCTTGAATTTTCTTCTTATTCATTTCCTTCTCTATATATAACCATTCATTTCGTACTCTTTCTTCTATCATTGCAATCTCGTTACTTCTTGACTACGTTCTTCAGCTCTTTTCAGTGTCGTTACATCGTTACACCGTCTGCTCGAATGCACCGGGCGCATCTCTTCGCGGCCGATGGTATCGCCGTAATCTGCAACAGCTGCAACGGGGCTCTCGCGATTCGAGACTATCTTATCCGTTGCATCCCTGATTTCTAGGCCTCTCCCTCTCTATCCCTTCCCTATCGCGGCTTACCTCTCTGCGCTCGCAAATGGCGGTGGCAATTTGCAGGTGCAAAGTTCACGACGGAGGGAAACCGCTAATGAGGGAGTGGTACGGGGCCCTGATGTGCAACGCAGGGCACGCGTGGATTTTCAAAGGGACAGGTTAATTATCCGCTCTGACCGCTGGAATTGTGACTTACTCGTGCACGCTGCTTTCCACAAGCTGTCGTGCATTCACAATCGCTAATTTGTCTTTGACGGCGCTAATCTTTCGTCCACCCTCCCCTCTCTCCCCTCCTTTTCTATTATATCTTTTTGCAGTCTGCAGATCGAACTAGCGAATGTTGTTCTACTTCAGCCCGCCCCCTCGAGACCGTAACTGTCCGATGGCGCCTCTCACCAGCCATAAATTAATTAAACTGGCGCGGAGGTGTGTGGACGGGTGTCAGTGCGGCGTTCTTCATCTTTTAACCCGTTTCGAACCAGTTCGCTCGTATCCCGTTCGAGCAGCCTAAACCTAAACTCGAGTTGCGCTACGGTTCGTTTCATATAGTTTTCGAAAGGGCATGGTTTGCATTCCTCGACATGAATATTGTGCACTTCAAAGCCTTTCAGCAGAATGTTGTTTCGTTCTTCTTAGATAAAGAAATTTTGATCTATTTTGCAAAGGCATCTGTCAATATAATTGGTCTATATAGAACGGCAGGTAATGACATATATAACTTTACTGTCTAGCTTATGTAATTTCTTCGGTACTGTATCGTGCCGCTAATTACACCCTGAACTGGGTGCTAATCGCTTCCAAGTACGTATGTACATCGTTATTATAATTATCACTGTGTGGTCTATGGGAATTTATCATCATAACAACGTCATTCGTCGTCTCTGCACGCACTTATCTTAAATAACTTCGTTTAACTTAAAATGCAACAACATATATATGGTCGCTCTCAAGCTGGACGCGTGATCGAATAAGATTGACGGAATAATAAGACCAAACACGGAACCTTCACGGAATATATTATAATTCAAATATTTTATTTTTGCCCGCTTCACCATCTCGAGGACTTGTATATTCTGGTTCATATCATCTCGTTCTTTGTGCAATTAAAACCGTAAACGCAGAGAGACGGGGTCAAATTTTTATCACGCAGATCGTCTTAGGAACAGCTTATACGTCGGCGCATAGTTGTTCGCATAAATCGTTCTTCGGCCGACGTATGGCAGGGGGGCGTGAATGGGGCGTAGCAACATAGTAACGTTTATTACATTGGCTGTGTGCCCTCGCCGATCTCTCCAGAGGACCAGGCGCGTTAAAACTTTGCGGGACCCCATACACGGGCACTCATCGCAGCATTTATCGATACCATTTCATCTCGTGCTGATGCCGATGCTGATGCCCGATCTTGATCGCGAGACAAGCGCAAGGAACAAAGACATCCAGATGATGGAAGAATCGTTATTGCTCTTAAATAAGATCTGTCCTAGAAGAGATACGAATGATAAAGCTGGATACTGTAGTGTAAAATATAAAATACGCCAATGCTTTGTAGTTTCCCTCGTCGTAGGTAATGGCGGTCGGTTCGATTTGATGTTAGAAACGAGTAGGGTAGGTAAACGAGGTAGTCAATACGCTCGCGACGAATGTTCCATTCCCATTGTTTCACCGTGTGCAGGTCACTTCCACGAGTAAAGATCGATCGAGTGTGTCACGGGTGGTCGGATAGCACGTCGAATGCACGTCGTTTTCGCATGAGCTCCTCGTCGCGTTTAACTAGAGGTGACTCCGCAAAAGGGGGAAGGCCGGATGCGGTAAAGAGACACCTCCATGGACGCCACTTGCCGACATTAATTTCTCACGATACGTCGTGCAATTCCCTTTTACGTATGTAGGGCCACCAATTATATGCACGCTCATGGTGCAAGTACCGTGCATCGACACATCGTATGTTCGAAAATCATTTAACGCAATTACCTAGCTGCATGCGATCTAAATTGGGAAGGAATGAAGTAGGGAGTATTAATTCTTGATTTGACTACGTTATTTCACGCTCGAATATGATGAAAATGATGAATTCTCATGGAGAAGAGGCAAGGTTGGAAACAATATTAGGAAGTCGTAACGGGATCGAAATTATTGGTGAGATTCTCACAAAGGAAGAAAACAATGAAGGCGGAGGCAAAGATTTATTTCAAGCCTCGTAAGGTTCACGTAGGAATAGAAATGTTCATGGGTTTCTCGTTCAGGTAGAGGAAAGATAAAAAAAAAACCACAAATTCTGAAATCATCTTCGCGCTGCTAAATTTGAGATCTCATTTAAGACTCACGATCGTTAGATTCTCGTAATATCGTGTCGGAACGAAATTAAACGCGATCGCGGAAACTTGAGGAAATTAAAGCGACTCTAAAGGTATCCGCGAGATTCTCATAAAATGATGAGTAAACACGATCGTGGAATTCCGTTAATTTAAGATGGCGCTATAAATGATGGCGAAATTGTCGTAAAAGCGGAATATTATTAAAGCGATCGTCAAGTTTATACAGTACTCGTACAAAGTTTATATCCGTTTAAATTAAATTAATATTCACGCCTTTAGAAATATGATTACAAATGTAAATAAAAATGTATACAAATTTTAAAAAAAGAACCTCTTATTTTATGCAAATATTGGCTGCGTTCAGCAGAAAAAGTAGCTTTAGAACTGTGTAAGATTCTTTAAGTATAATTTGTTCTTGTTCTTACATTGGTTATTACAATTTATTTTTCAGTGGATTAAAATGTATAAATCAATATCATTGAAGAATCTTATAACAGTTACAAGCTGTTTTTTTTTTTTTGCTGACCACAGTTGTTCCGCAAATTCAAAGAATAGAAAAACAACAATTGTTGAACTAAGAAAAACGCCACGAAAAAAAATTAAAATTAACGCGACAATCTATACAAAAACACAGAAGCTTGTAGCAACATCGCAATGTTACTGTAATATTCCGTTGCAATCTTGTTGTAATATTGCTAGAAAGTTTGATAAAATTCGGGATGATCGAGAATAAGATGGATTACGAGACTTACGTTTATACTGCTGAGGGGTGTCGGACTGACACCCCTGCGGCCACTGCCGCCACCACTGCTAACTTCCGCGTCCAGTTTGCCGATTTGTATAATCGTTGCAATGCGAATGGACTCGAGATGGTCCTACGATCCTGAAAACGCAATGCGAAATCACGCGAGATACGCACACACGTATCGATCGCGAGACGCGTGGATGATCTTTGGCGTTGAAGGTACGCGGACTTCGATCACGACTCCATCTCTCGAGTGCCTTCGATGATTTCAAGTGTTCTCAAGATCAAAACAGATCGAATGTCTCCTCCCGATATTGTCTCTCTCTCTCTCTCTCTGTCTCTCTCTTTCTCTCTCGAGCGCGTAATCGTATCTTTTGATTTCAATCGTATCAATAATAGACACGCGGTTACGACACGTCAACATTGCAAGCGAATCGCACGGAGTAGTCTCTTTTTAGACAGCCGGCTACATTCATCGCGACGAGCGCACTGGCTGATTGAATGGCACTCATAAAATATACGCACAGTGCTCGTGACACTCGTCGGGGCACAGAGCGTCGACGCGCGGCGGGCCGCGCGGCCGAAATCGCGAGCTTCATATTCACTTGACGTGCTCCACGCGTGAGCTGCGTGGCTGTGTGAGCGGGAAACGTAACGTGAATCCTTACGACGGAGTACGGACACTATACCGCGACGGACCGAGTACTCCTTTTTCGTCGATTAATACGCAACGACGACGCATCCGTGTCCCACTTGGATTCCTTTCGCGTGGATACTACCTGATTCCCCGACAAGCGGAACATTCGCGACGACGACGATGACGACGACAACCGGTAACGATGGTGATGGCGATGACGATGACGATAATGACAGCGACGATGGTGGGTGATGCGCGCGTGATTAAGGCGGTGACGGTGACGACGAGGATGAAGGCGACAACCGCGACGAAGGCGAGTCAGCGTGCTGCTCGTTCGCCTTAAGGGCCGTTCGTCGCAGACGCATGCTCGCGGCACGTCGCAGCCTCTCGCACTGACCGCACGTAACACGTAAGAGAGAGGTGCGTACTGTACTTGTGTGTCTACCCCCTCCTTCTGTCTTTCTCTCTCTTTCTCGCTCTCCGCGTCTTCCCTCCCGTTGCGCGCCGCGCCGCGCGCTCGCCCTCCGAGCGCTATCTCTCCCTATCGCGCGTCCGCTCTCTTCGTCACTTTCTCGTCAATTACCGTACGCGCGGAAGACGGCCAAGAGGAGAAGAAGAATTTTCACACACACGTGCGCGCGCGACCGCGCCGGACTCTCTTTTAATTTGCTTTGCGCGCCAACTTCTCGCGGGTATCCTACTATCCTCGCGCGATAACTCCGTATAGTCTCCGTAGGGAACGTTGATGAGTCCGGAATTGCCGTGGCGCCACTTTTCCTCCCCTCCCTCTACCTTTATTCTCTTCTTCCACCTAGTCCTCGTTGTCTTCGTCTTCGTCGTCGTCGTCGTCGTCGTCGTCGTCGTCCTCCGCCGCGCAGTCACGAGGCTACCTCCTCTCCGCAACGCCGCAAGTCCCACCTCGTTTTTCCCTATAATTTACTCGGTAGCCGAGCTTTTTTTCCTTTACTCCATTTTCATATCTCCTCTCTCCACCCCGCTGCTCGTCGCGACTCTATCGTTGCTACCCTTTGCGTCCCTTTCCTTCCCTTTACCCTCCACCATCCCCTTCTGTTCTTCCATCATCCATCCTTTGCGACGTCTCTCTTTTTCTCTCTGTCTCTGCCTCCGCTACTGCCACCGCGCCACCGTCACTGCTTCTTTGCCTCTATCTCTACCTCTGCCTCTGTCCGCCTGCATGTACCTCTTCCTCTTGATGCCAGCCATGAATCCTCTATGGGCTGAGGGGTCAGGAGGGTTGTGTGACGCGCCGCCCCTTTAATAGCGCTACGTCGACCTCTTCCATTCACCGTGCCTCCATCTACCAGTGGCAAGTTGAAGATCATTGTCGCAGTGCTGAATGCAATCACTCTGACACCCTGAGCAAATAATATTCATCACAGAGAAATTACGTTTTTTATCAGATTTTATCACGTTTTTTTTTTCGATATGAAAAGAAAATTATAATTACTGTTTTTTTAATTAAAGCTTTTATAGATTTACAGATTATTAAAATAATTTTTGTGGAAAATACTTCACAATTGCAATACATTGCAAACAATTGTACTGTGAAAGATTATATGTACATTAAGGGCTGCATGTAATAAAAGAAATATTAGACACAACTAATATTACGATTTCAAACTAACATAAAATATTTGTACTGGAACATATGATGGTTTCTGATATTGGTAGAAATCTTAATATTTATTCCTATTTTTAAATTTCTTCTATTATGCACAAGGAGGATGTTCTGCATCTGCGATCTAACAATAAGTCGACCTACCTGTTAGAAAATGCATAGAATGAAAAATATTTCTAGAGCGCTTACCTTTCTGACTGACCTTTTCTTTGAGTAGAACGAAAAGCGGATGACATCTCGACAAGAAAATATCAAGAAAGGTCTTTTAAAATTTCACGGTACGATTCCTCTTTTTTTTTTCATTCATAATATCAAAATCTCTGCTATAAAATCATAGAAAATAATAATTCGAAATTCAGATGCAAATGGAAGAATACTAGATTGTTGGGATAAGGTAAATATAAGGGTATACATATAAAAAATTTTTTAAAAATAATTTTAAAAGAATTTTTTTACATATATTGTATTCGTATAATAGTTCTATAATCTCCAATCTATAATCTCTGGTTAATGCTTAGTTTGTAGTCTTAGGTAAAAAACATAACAAAGATAATTTTATAATAAATATTGATATAATAAATAAATATAATTCTTTTGACTAGAATAATTATTACATAAGGATACAATAAGGCTGCAATTACATTTTGTAAATATTTTCTCAATTTTTTTTTTTATGTATCTTCTTTATCAATCGATTTATCTCATTTTCATAAAAGTATTAAGATATGATGATTGAAAAATGAATATTTTATAAGATATTTCGTATTAATTAAAATAAAATGTGAAAATGCAAACTATTTGTTAATATTTTATGACATTATCTTTATACTTTTTATATTTCAAAAGAATCAATAAGAAAATATTTATAGTTTTAGTTAAAAATAAAATAAAATAATTTTAATATAATTTTGAAGAATTAATCAATAGCAAATTAAGGCTATCATTTTATATTGTACTTGAAAGCAATATATTATATACATATGCATTTTATATATATGCATCATATACATATATATATATATATATGCATTTCATATATATATATATATGCATTTTATGTATATGTGTGTGTATGTATATATATATATATTACATATAAGTTCATTACATAGTTACGTACACATCACATATAGACATAGGTAATCAAAGTATTAAAACATTATATCTCTTAAATTAAGTATTCCAGCAAAACCTATAAAAATTGTTTAATTTTAAAAAAGATATGAAATGGTAACTTTTATTTGATTGTGAATGGTATTTTCAATTTAATAGTTATATCAAAGTTATCTATGCTTTTATATGGAATTATATAAATTTTTTTATGTAAATTAATTTTCGTTAATATTTTGCATGTATTATATATATATACAATAATATATATTTTCACACAAAATATAAGTATATTTAAAGTGTAAAAATATATTGTTCTAATAACATACTTAAAAAATTTTATTTCTTTAAGACTTTCAGAAAAATTTTTCAAAAATATTTTAGAAAGTTGATTTTTAAATTTATAATTTTATATATAATCTAATACAAAGTACGATAATATTGTATTAGATTATATGAAATTATATATAATTTATATAATTGAAATTATTCAGTTACCTTAATTATTATTATGATACGATTTATAATGATTATTTATTTTATAAGTATAAAATAAATTATCATTAGAAAAATTATAAAAAATTATATAATATATAATATAGAGTTTTCATAAACTATATCGTTAAGAAATCCTCAAAATATCACTAAGTGCATGAATAGGATTTCCAATATTCTTGAGAAAAAGTTGAGAAATTTGAAATTTCTACAGAGATGTTTTCGAGCAAACTGTTCTTTTTTTGTTCATGTTATTCTTGATCGCACGAGATTTTCTATTTTCCTTCTCATGTGTCTTTACATGTTTTTTGAGATGATCACTTCTCATAAATCTTTTATGGCACTTGAGGCAAGGGTACTTCTTTTCACCGGTATGCGTACGATAGTGACGTTGCAGCTCATCACTTCGAGTGAATCTTTTACAACAGGAAGGCCAACTACAGGAATACGGTCGTTCGCCGTTATGCGTTCTAATATGCGCCTTGAGATGTGACGACTTGCCGTATACTTTTCCACATCCTAACACATAACATATGTGTTGCTTTTTGCCATCATTACCAAGTGGGGCATTATCCCCTTTTATAATGCAATTAGGACACTCGCATTTCTTCCTGTTGATTTTATTTGGTTTGTGTACGAAGCCTGGAATTTGAAATTCTGAAGATCTCATTGAATTATAAAAATCATGTTCTAATATATATTGATGAGAGTTGGTTGCTTTTTCTGACAATTCTTGTGACAGAACAGGATTTGATGAACAATAATATTGGTTGATTGAATCAACGGTTGCAAACTGACGACGATGACATCTTTGCTTTGTTAAAGATGTGTTGGTCATCATCTCGGGCGTTAGTATTGCTGTATATGTATTGTTATGTGACATTGGACATTCATGACTTTCTTTATAAGCAGCATCCTGGTATTGGTAGATCGATGTATTTGGCAAAATGTACGAAGATGGTCCGTATTTAGTGCCTTCCTGACGAGTTGAATTGGGAAAGATGATAGAAGTTGTATTATTGTTTGATTGAAAGTGATAATTGTTCGGAGTTATGCAATCATAGCCTTGGTTGTAAAAATTGTATTCCTGCTTCGTACGATTCACATTATTAATATTGTATTGTGTTAATACATCTTGAGAAGCCAACGTATTCGTTATTCGTGTCGTACCAGGCATTGAAGATGGGATTGACGTTGTTTCAATGAATGTCTATAAATAAAAGACACATGTAAGTAAAAAGGAAGCAATAAAAAGAAAAAGAGAGAGAGAGAGAAAGATTTATGTCATTTATTAAGTTATGTCATTTTTAAACAAATTTCAACAGAGCACATAATGAAAAAAAAAACATAATAAGTTAATAAAAATAATGAATATTGTACGTTAATAAAAACAGTATTGTGTACATACATAACAAAGATATGCATAAGATGCATAGAAAAATATGTGATTAATGAAATATTTTAAGAAATTATTAAAATTATTGTATATTTAAAATTATAAAATATCAGAATATCACAATATATTTTGATAGCCATACAAATTTTAATTAACAAAAAAAATACTATTATATGCAAATATCACAAATGAAATATTAATGTATAAAGAATCACATTAATGTATGATACAGTAAAGCACGCAAATTTTGAGCTACTTGAAACTTGTCATTTTTAAACAGAGGTGCCAAAGGGTTTACAAGTTATCGCTGTGTCGTGATCCATTGCTAATGCCACGTTTCCACGTTTCCGTGAACCTTACCGTGATACTATATCAGTGCTCTATGATGAAGTGACCGGCAAAATTTATGGTGATAATTTGTTTATAAATTGCAATCTGATTTTTTTAAAGATAAGCATATATTACAAAATAAAAATATCAATATATAAAAAATTATCAAAGATTTATTAGATATAAATTTAATTAAATATAAAGAAAAGCTTGCTGTGTATAGAGAGAGACTAGCTTAGTATTTTAAAATTTAAAATATTGATTATTAAATAATGTAATTTTTAAATCTAATATCTTATTTTAACATTAAAACGAAAACATAAGAGTAAATCCACAACCTTGCTTTAAGAGGCCTTAAATCATAAGTCGAAAGAGATTAAGTAATAATAATTTCTATCTTTAAACTATTTTTGCACAGTCTTTAGGTTTTAATCGTTAGACTTAAACAAATTGAGTAAAACTCAATTCTTATGGCTTAAAAGCAAGTTCTATCGCCGATATATCATCACTTATAACTTACGGTCTCTTAAAGCAGAATTGTGGACTTACAATTAGCCTAACACATGTCGTTACTTTTTAAGTAGCGGTAATGTATTACTTTTTAAAATTGATAATGGCTGCGTTCAGCAGAGAAATCAGCTTTGCAACTGTTGTAAAATTCTTCAATACAATTGGTTCTTGCTTTTGGTTCCTTATAGATCTAAATATATAAACCAATCATGTTGAAGAATTTTAGCAGCCAATGATAACGAGACAAGCTACTTTTTTACAAAAAGTAATGGTAACAATAACGTATTACTTTATAAAATAATGTTCTCAACCCTGCATAGATGTTTTCTAAATGTATTTTTGTGTGTATCGTCTGCTTTCTTTTGTAATTAATCGTATGTAAACAGATATACTCAAACAAAAAAAATTCAAGCAAAATACGCAAAGTTGCATGACCATACATATAAGGAGTCACGTACTTATACACTGAGACAAACCTGTGGATATATGATAGGTTGAATCCAGGGGTTTACTTCTTGTTCTTGATTCCATGATGCCATGTATTATAACTAAGATGAAAAATAAGCAATACACTATCGAAATCGATTTTATATAAATTTAGGGGAGTAAAAAAATTTAGTTTATTATAATTATTAATGGAACTATTCTTAAAAATATAAAATTAATCACGAATTAGAAGCTATTATATAATTAAAATACAGCATGTTCAAAAGTGTATTCTTTTAATATATAAGCATATCAATCAATTATTATATGTAATTTTTTAAAGACTTGCTATTTTTTGCAGTCACTTCTTTGTAGTTGTAAAGTCTTTGTAGCAATTTCCAGTGCGAAGATGAATAACAATTTTTATTTCTTATAAGTTAGAGAACACTCAAGTGGTAACATAACGCTTCGCTTCAACTTTTAAAACTGAGAGGACGAGAGACGGTCATAGAAAAGAGAAGAGGGGGATACATGTTCTATTCTAGTGGGGATATTCTTTCGGACGCATGCGCATATGCTATTTATTTGTATCATAAATCATCTTCAAATCTCCAATCATAATCTCATAAATATTATATTTTACTTAGTAGTTTGTTTTCCCTCGAGACTTTCTAATCATTTTTTAAAAAGAAACAAAACTGTTATGAGACATTTTGTTCAAAATTTTATTTGAGCATCTTAAGAATTTGTAATTTTTAAATATTAGAAAAATCGAGAAAATGAGGAAAATTCTGGAAGACTTAACGACTTCTAATTTTTTTAATATCTTTTTTTTTTAATATTAACAACCAATAATAACATACCACAATTATATATAAGAATTATTCGCGGAAATAAAAAACTGTAATGTCATATTTGTAACAAAAAAATATAAATTTATGAAAAATATTGGACAATTAAATGAAAAAAATTAAATTAAAATTAAACAAAAAAAATGTCTTGCAACAGTCTTGCTTTTCTTTATTTTTAAGAAATATAAAATCTCAAAGAAAAATAAAAAGAACTGCTACGTAAAATATTACGTAATACTACGTAAAATACTAAAAAGGATATAGAATATTCTCTTGATTAACTAAAATTTTTATTTCTAAAAATAGAAAATTAACTTGGACACTAGGACAACTTCAACATATAACCGCGATCTTAGATTAAAATAAAATAACTTCAATTTATAAAATATTATTTTAAACTTTTACAAAATTCGACGTTTATGTATCTTTTAATCTTGTGTTATTGCACGTTCTTTTTTGTACGAAACACATTTTGTGCTTTTTAGAAAAGGTAAGACTTGATCAAGATATACGATTAATTTCTAGAATTAATCAATCATGATTTAAAATGTATAAGATTTTTTAAGATAAAATTTTAAAGCATTTTACTTTTCTAAATGATATATTTCATATGTGTAATATTATCATGCATAAAAGTTTAAAGCATTTTATTTTTCTAAATGGTATATTTCATATGTGTAATATCATATGTCTCTATTTAGTATATAGTTATCACAGTGATAATGCGACTTTGACGACTATATTCGTGCAGTTTGAAGTTTTAAAAATAGTTCCATATCTATTTGAATAGTTTTTCTTTTAATCTTTCTTTTTAAAACCAAGTTTATCATCTTTCAGTCAATTTTTTCTCTTTTTCGAGAGTAATGAATTTTGCATATGTATCAAATTCAAATGGTGATTTGACCGTAGGCAAAATCATGCTTCGTATTTGGCCGCCCAAGATTCAGAGGCGATCGTTCTGGTAAGTAATAATTATTGATAAAGGCGGCGACGGGAAGGGAATAGTAATGGTGGTAGGGCGAATAAACTTAATCGTTTGGATTTAATTAGCGGATGAGGTTTTTCGGTTTAATTAGCGGTCCTGCACGCTCGATGTCGCTTCGTTTAAAGACGCGAATATCATCGCGAGAAGCTTGTATGTCGACGTAATTATACGATGGCCAATGGTCGCTTGTAGTGTTGTTGCTCTTTATTCCTCTCTCCAATTGCTTACCCTTGCGTGCGTGTTTTTATGCGTGCATATATGCGGCGAGCCTTCGCAAGACGTTACACTTTCATGGCCATGTGATTTAAACTTTCAGATTGAGAAGTTAATCTTACAATTAGCTCGTTACGGATATGTCAGAAACTATTATCTTGTAAGTTGAAAAATAAAACTATTTGTTTATTCATGGCATATTTTTATCAGAAAGATTTATAAATATGGTTGAAATATTCAATTCCGCACGTAATTTTACAGAAAAAGATTTATCAAATCGCTTTTTTAAACTTTATTGTTCGATATTATTATAAATCTAATGATGTTTATTATTATAAATGTAATGATTGCACTATTGAATATCGTGGGTGAATTTTATACATTTTATAATACAAATTATAATACCTTTTTTCTTGTTAAAGAGATAATTGAGAATGATAGAAAAATAATTGAGAAAGATATATAACAAAGAACTGAACGCTATTTAATTTTAATCTGTACACAATATCAAAATCTCGCACCGGAAATAGATAATTATTTTCCGGTATTTTACCAGATGATGAAATACTTTATATTTTTTCTTTATTCAGTTTAAGCATTACAAGTCGTGAGGAACAAAATATTTTTTATTAACCGTATCAGATCAGATAATGTTAACAGAAAGTTTGATAAATACATTACAAATTTCCACTTTTGATCTACTAATGTAGAATTTGCTTTTGTTTGACGTATTGAATTCATTAAGTTGAACAAACGAAATTCCCATAAATAAATTTCTGAAAATATTGTGTAAAAATTGTTGACACATATTGAACCACGTTGATTCTGTATTGCCTTTTTCCAATCATCTGGTTTGTTTAAATTTCGAGATTTTTCAATATTAAGTTCATAAAAATATTATGTTTTATTTAAGATGATAATACATGTAATTTGGAAACTTAACGTACGTTAATATACGTTTCATTTTGTTACTTTATAAACATTTTTATTTTGTTAAACCGCTTATTTAGTTCATTAACAATAAAAAACGTAAAGAATTATTTTCAGGATATACATTTACAAGATGATTTAAAAAATAAATACCACAAAAAATTGTAATTAATCATCAATACTTGCTTTTCGTTCGGATAATTCTACCTGAATGATACAATAAATTAAGAAATGTTATTACGTAATAAAAATGTCATCAACTTAACTTATAACCATCAATTTACATTACAACCATGACTGTCCAAAAACTTGTGTTATAAAGCACAAGAGACTGAAACAATTTATTTCATAAAATTTTCAATAAATAAAGACAATATTTACATCCTTATAAGCTGTTTGAAGTATAACACACCGACTTTAAAATAATCAGTAATATATGTCTGTGATATATGTTATTTCATTCCATCACAATTATTACTTTTCCACAAATTGTTTTCTTTTCAGAAAAAGAGACATAAATTGAATTCTATGAACCAATAAGAAAAGAAAGAAAGATTTTCATCTCTTGGCTGCTTGATTTGAATTAAAAGATTTGAATTTCTCCAGAAAAATTAATTAATCATTGATTAGCATCTTATTAACAACTTTATTGTATAAAAAAATTATTGCAAAATATATCTTTATAGCTAGGGCGTCAATTCTCCTGGAGAAATTTTTTAAAATCTTTTAGTGCAAGTTGCACGCAAAAAAATATTTTGCTGCTCCATATTATTTACATTGATATAACATCGATTTTTAATTTTGCAATATAATTACACAAATTTAGAAAATATATCTTGAGTAATAAAATTTTGATGATATTAAAATAGTCTTTAAATATAAATTCTAATTTGATACAAAGTTCAATGTTAAATTAGAATTGGACTCGAATGAGATATAAGTCATATTTACTGTGCGACAGCGGAATGTATCATCATGATCCCCTTTTTCGGTAATCAAGGATTGCCGTATAAACTTGAAATCCTCTCGGATCAAAGATACACAGGTGGACTTTTTTTCTTTTATATCCAACAAGTCATAAAGCAAAACCACGGGATCCTGATGGTATTAAAACGACCTCCGAGTGAACGATTTCTAACTAACTATAAACACTTAAGTTATATCGGCGAACTGTCAAAAAGTGCGCTTTTTCGGTTGTATCAGTTTCTCAAAAATGGAACCTCGTAATGCGATCGAAAGGCCAACGGCCATTTCACAAAAGAGTGCCGAAAGGCTGTTACGACCGAGAAGAAATATGTTATTCCCTTCATTCTCGTCCTTCGGTCTTTTCGTCTGTCTAGTAGAGGGTCACTTTAATTTTTGACCGGCTGCTGAGCCGAGGAAATGTGAAACGTTCGGCGATATAATTAAATGATCAGTCGCTAATCAGGATTTATCGAATTAGGAATGAAATATATAATGTAGATGGTTCTTTTATAAGTGTATTTACATTTTTTTTATTACGAATTATTTTATTGACTTATTTAAATTTCTCTGTTATATAATTGTTGTTATAGTTGTTATACAATTGTTGTTTATAGTTATTATTTTTATTTTTATAAATTTACATGTTCTTATTACAATATTCCCTTGATGAAAATTTTTCTCTGAATTTTTATACGAATTGAAATTTTTTAGAAATAATAAAGAAGGTCTTTAAAACTTTTTATATATGAATTTTGAAAAAAATATTCTAATATTTTTTAAATTTCTTATTTTATAATTTCTGAAAAAATACTTTAAACTTTTTTAGATTTTATAAGATTTCATCAGAAATTATAGGATAAGAAATCTAGAAATATTTTAGAATTTAAATATGAAGAATTCTAAAAAAGATATAAACTTTCTCGACCCTTTTAAAAAGTATTCCAATTTGTATTAAAAATCTGTAAAATTTTCTAAAGAAGTTAAGAATTTAAAAATTCTGAATTTCGTATAAAAATATGAAAAATTCTCAAATAAGAAAAATATTTATCACGGTTATTTTATTTTTTGCTACATAATTTATAATTTCTCACATAGCTGTAAACATTTGTTGAAATTCGGATATAACAAAATGTGCATACTTAGGTACCTATAGATCTGTAGTATACATTTCATTTCCTC